CGATAATGGGGATGTATACATTGAAATATTTAAAAAATATGAGGATGGTTCTGGTTAGAGAAGACTTTGACATACAGCAATTGGGGTATACAGTATAGCAAATGGTAAAACCCAATGTTAACCGTAGGCTTTCAGAATGATAACTCTAAGAGCAGAGTTAGAAAGACAAGATGGGGTTACTGAGTGTGAATATGATATATATGAAATTTATTTGAAACCCATTGTGTTGTATAACATGATTACATATTCGTAACATACACTAATAAAGAGTGAGCCTCTTGTTGATCTGCAATTGTGAGATACTCAACATGGTTAAAGCTTCAAGTACATCAAGAACTTACAGCCAGTCAGGTTATAGAGGTCTGCCAGAGAGAAATTAAATAGAGACCCATGAACTAAGGAAAAGAGTTTCATTTCTGTTGAGTGGGTTGCAAGGACCATAACCTTTGTAAGTAAAGGAAAGCCACTTTCAGAACCATATTACAATGATGAAGCATGGTCCCTAAGTTAGAAGCCTCTGTCTTCACATTCCAGCTCTTGTTTCACTGCATCTATTGGTCTTTACTGGAGAAGGGACTGTGGTCTTCCTCAGAACTTTCTTTGAGAATTCATGGGATGACCATCTTTCATCTCAGTTTAACATTTCCTGACTTCCATGTATAAACTGGGATCTGTGGAAAATTCCTTGGGAATCTGGGAATCAGGAGTGGTCAATTTTTGTTTGAAGATCATCTGATCAAATGTTAAGTATGTCACCTCCTGCACTTCTTCTCTTTCAGGGTCCTAGAAAGAGGTAAACATTAAGTGATATTGTGTACACATAATCTTGCAGAGAATAAAGGTATATTAGACTGTATGGAAGAGAGAAGACTCAGGACGACCTACCTGTCTGTTCAGTGTTGCTCTTACTTCAGAGTCTTGACCCATAATGGCTGCATTTTAGAAGACAGAATTAATCAAACCCATGTAATAAAGTACTTCTGCACTCTCATTTCAAATGCAAGATACTAGTGAGAGATATGGAAAAACCCAAGGTTGCTCACCCACTGCAAATTAGAACTAGATTTTCTACAATGCTGTACCCTAGAAATTCTTTCTTCAGCACATACTCTCTGCCCTCTTCCTCCTTTCCACCCTCCCTCCTTCTCTTCCTCCTTCTCTGCCTGCCTCCCAATCTCTCTCTCTCTCTCTCTCTCTCTCTCTCTCTCTCTCTCTCTCTCTCTCTCTCTCGTTAAACCTTCTCCTTGATATTAGTGCATGCTTTGGATGCAAAGATACATTGAGGAATTATTCAGTGGTCTGAAAACTGTGGGGATGAGCACGGGCTGTGGATTTTCTCTAGAAAGCTCTGTCTTAGTTTTCCTGTCTTGGTCAAAGTATTTTCTTATAAATTAAGAAAATATACCTCTACTTCTCTGGTCTTGTTTTCTCACACTACTCAGATGACATTCACTGGCTTGGTCCAGAGACTTACTCTTTTTGGCAGAGCACCAAGAATAAAGGAGGATGATGAGGAAGGCAAGGATCATGGTCACTGACAGTCCAATCAGAATATGCAGGTTTCTGTGGTTCTCTGGAGGAAGATGTCAACCCAATAAGAGGTATATCTCAGTACCCCCATTTTGACAGATTACATAGTAGTTATTGATTAATAGGTAACTGATAAAATATTGCTTTAGGACAAGAGTCTTGATGGAGAACCCACTAATAATATCTGCTCAAAGGAAACAGTATTAAATGGACTTCTAATTAATTATCACTATACCCAGATATGACTATATTTCTCAACTCTCATTAGAGGAATCTATATTTGGTATAGATGGTGATTAATACAGATACCCACAACTGGGCAAATTGTGGAGATGAAGAGACTATAGAATTATGGCACTAAATGAGATGTTTACATCTCAAATCGGTCTCCAAATGTCTAGCATCATTTTTAAAGATATGGGGGAAGAGATTGCAAAAAGAGGCTATGGGTAACTATAAGAAATCTGTCTTCTGTACACTGAGGGCAGGTGAAAAATGAACTTCACAGGAGGTTGAGATAGCATGCCTAAGAATGGCTCAAGTTCAAGCATGACCAAATCCCATCATGGAGAGTGGAGGTGGACATGAGGTCTCATCCCTAGTCAAGGGGCTATGGGCTATTGGTGATTGTTGGGAGAATGAGTGTCAGTTTCAGGAGTGTTGTTACTAGTAAATTGACTGTGCTCCAGAAGAGGTCCACACATCCAGGAATATATAGGTGTTATGCAAGTGGCAGAAAACCGCAGGACCCTACGTTCAAATCATGTGTTCAGTAGCTCAATCTGAGATTGATATCAGTGCTCATTAGATTTGCTTTGCTTCTGTGACACCTTGAACTAAACATTTAATTCTCTTGTAGGGAAAAAGTGAAGTCAAGTCTAATCTGTCAGAAGTAGTATTTTTATATAAAAATCCTCCCTTCTGCTCACTTGTTTCCTTCTTCAGTCCCCATCAACTCCTCTCCAGGAGGAACAGAGCTAGAATGAGCACTTCATTGATCCTGGGAAGGGAGTAAATTTACTCTCCTTTTCACTCACCAAGGTCTCAGGTACAGAAATTAGAGA